TTGTTTAATATGTGCGAGGCACTGTGCTAATCAGTGCTTTACAATTATCTTATTTGATCCTCACAACCCTGGGAGGTATTAGTACCTCCATTTTATGGATAAGGAAACTAAGGCAGATGGAGAAGTTAAGTGACTTGCCTACAGTTATATGTCTAGTAAATCCTGAGGAAAGATTCGAATTCAGGCTTTCTGTTGCCAAGAATAGCACTCTTATTATCTAAGCCACCTAGCTGCCAATCAGAGCTTTCAAAAGCCTCAACTCTTGCAATAGCTTCCTACGTGGTCCCCTACTTTGAGCCTCTTCCCATTCCAATCCACCCTCCACAGCTGTCAAAGTGTACAGGTCTATTTATTTGACAAACACCAGCGGCTCCCTCATACTGCCAAGATAAAATATAAATTTTGTTGTTCCTCGTGACCCCATTTGGAGTTTTCTAGGCAAAGATACTGGAGTGGTTTACCATTTCCTTCTCCAGCTTATTTTACAGATGAGGAAACTGAGGCAACCAGGATTAAGTCATTTGCCCAGGGTCTCATGACTAGTCAGTGTCTGAGGCCAGATCTGAACTCGGGGAGATGAGTCTTTCTGAATCCAGGCCCAACACCCTATCCACTTTGACACCTAGCTGCCCCCCAAAATATACAAACTAATCTGTCATTATATAAAATATATAAACTAGTCTGTCACAACCTAGCTTCAGTCTACTCTTCTGGATATGTACTTTCAGGTACCTATTGGTCCTCATACATGGTATTCCATTTCCTGCTTCCCATGGCTGTCCCTCAAGCCCGGGAAGAACAGAATCCCCAGCTTCCTTCGAGACTCAGTTCAACTGCCCCCTTTTACATGTAGTCTTTCCTCATTACTTCCTCCACCCCCTGAAGCTGTTAAGTTTCTTTCCCTGCCAAATCACCTTGTATCTATTTTGCATACACCTATGTGTCTATGTTGTCTCCCTGATAGAATATAAGTTTGAGGGCAGGAACTGTTTCCCTTATGTTTTTGTGTCCCCAGTATCTAGTACAGTGCCTGGCACACAGTAGGTGCTTAATAAATGTTGATTAGTTTATTGACTAAGATGGCCGAAAATAGTGGAATACTATGATCACAAAAGGACCAGAAGAAACTGAAAGATTCATGGCAGGCACACATTGCCCATGATGACTTTCACATGAGAAGGTACATAAGACATTGTCAAGAACATGTATGTGTGGAAAAGGAAGGGTGCCCGTCATGTAGCATAACAGATGGGTAGCAGTCCTACATGCATGGCTACAAAATATAAAACCCCAGAATATATATCCTCTGTAGAGGATTTGTGAAAAGACAGCAAAGAACTGCCAAGGATGAGAATCCACAGAATGGGTTTCCATCTGCACCAATGGAAAGAGTGCCCACACTGCTGAGAATGGTGATCCATTGAAGTCTATAAAGCCTTTTAACTGAGGACTCTTGGGAGACTATCAAATATTTGAAGACTCAAAGTAGGGAAGGTTTGTTTTTTGTTTGTTTGTTTTTTTGGTGAGGCAACTGGGGTTAAGTGACTTGCCCAAGGTCATGCAGCTATTGAGTATCATGTGTCTGAGGAGGGACTTGAACTCAGGTCCTCCTGACTCCAGGGCTGGTGCCCTATCCACTGTGCCATCTAGCTACCCCAGTAGGGAGGTTTGAATGGTGGGATTTGAGGTGCTAATGACAAAAAAACTGGGGAAGATGACCTTCAGGGCCCAGGGCTTCGGAAACTGCAAACTCTATGTAGCTTAAGCCCTACTGAAGAAAAGATGACTTTATTTTAAGCAGAACTCTTGAAGCCAACTTCAGTTTAGAACATCTCAAATTGGAGTCTGAGATCATCAGTGTTTGCATTCCAAAAATTATTGGCCGATAGAAGGTGAGGGGGAGGTGGGAAAGGCCCATCTAGCAGCTATCTTCCTATCTCCCTCTGCTTCACATCAGTTTAAGAATTATTCAGGCATATTTCAACTATTCTATTTGTACACTTTCTCTGACTAGTCCCCGCTATTAAAGCATTTGAAAAAGTGACCATAGAAATATGTCTGGAATAGGCTTTGGACCCAGATATGTGCCTCTGAGTAAGAAACCAATTTCTTCTTCCTCCTCCACTTCACCCAAACCTTTCTTAAATCCTGTTTCTGGTCATCTGGGAAGCCGGGGCTGGGCTGGTCAGGAAATTCCAATGCTTTTTGTGTCTACCTGTTTAATCTCTTCTAGCATCTCAGTGGTACAACAGAAAGGGTTCAGAATTGGGAGTCAGGGGACCAAGGATCTATTCCTGGCTCTATCTATTAGATAGTTATGTGAAATTGGAAAAGTCCAAAAGTCTGGGCCTCCATTTCATCTATAAAATGGGGATAATAATGCCTGCCTTGTCTCCCTCACAGGACTGTTAATGAGGACCAGATGGGGTGTGAATAGCAATAGCTAGCATTTATAAAGAACTTTGAGGTTTGCAAAGTGCTTTACAAATATCTCATTTTATTCTCCCAACAAGCTGGGGAGGTAGGTGCTTTTATTACCCCCATTTTACAGATAAAGAGACTTAAGGCAAACAGAGGCTAAGTGACCTACCCAGGGTCACACAGCTAGTATGTGTCTGAGGCAGAATTTGAACTCCTGTCTTCCTGGTTCCACATCCAGCGCTCTATCCATCGTACCACCTAGATGCCTAATGGTTGTGAAAGCCCCTTGAAGTACTCCACAAATGTATAAGGGATTAGTAGCATGGTACTGTATGATAGTGAAAGGAATACTGGAGTCAGAAGACTAGCCCTCCATTTCTAGAGATCTGACTCCCCTAGCGAAGCAACCAAGTTTAACTGAGGCTCATCTGCCAATGGATATCGTAACCCCCTGCCCTGCTAACCTCATGGGGTTACTGGGAAAACTAAAGATCATGTATATGAAATGCTGACATAAAACCATAAAGTTCTACTATGGATGAATCACAGAATAAAGCTGGGAGAGAGACAACCTTGGAGATCTTCTGGTCCAATCCCTTCATTTCACACTGAGGCTCAGATGGGGTAGGTTACTTGTCCAGACACACACAGCCAATTAGAATTAGGTAATCACAGGTTTTTAGAACTGTCACCACAGATTCTTTAGGAGGAATTCTCATATATGGGCATGCTCTCTAGATATTATCCAAGGCCTTAAGATTATGATTTCAAATAAGAATGATAGCAAACATTTACATAGCTCTATGTACTAGGCATTGTGCTAAATGCTTTATTAGTATTATCGCATTTGATCCTCACAGCTCTGGGAAGTAGGTGACTTTCACCATTTTACAGTTGAAGAAACTGAGATAGACAAATGTTAAGTGACTTGCCCGGGGTCACATGGCTAGTAAATGCCTAAAGCTGGATTTGAACGCAGATCTTCCTGACTCTGGGCCTAGTACTCTATCTGCTGCATCACTGACCTGCTGGTCTACATGCCATCCAGTATAAAAACCAGAATGGAGCCAATGCCCAGAGTGTTAATGTTACATGCATAATGGAATGCATAATGTTACAAGTCCTTTGGCGTAAGCATCTCTTACCTAAGGTGTGTGGGCAGAAGTAACCAAGATGAGTTGTTTTTAACTCCACCTTGTGATACTGCTGGGCTCAGGGAATGCAGTCTTTTCCCAAGCTGAGCAGAAGAATCAGTCCCATTTAGTGATGGCGTGAAGTCAATATCCAAGCAACTCTCTAAATCCTGGCACAGAGCACCCATTCACTTGCTTTGCTCAATGCTGTTTAAATGTTACCTCTGCCTTATAAGAGACAGAGGCAGGGTGGCCGCCCTTCAAATCAGAATTACTCAATTCAAGTTCTACCTGTGACACATACTTGCCGTGTGGCCGACAGGTTGCTGAACTTCTCAGCGCCTACATCAATTCTAAGACTAAGTGGCAAGATAGCAGGTCTGTAATGGCATATCACTTTTCCTCAATCAAGGATCTCCTTCCACCAATGAAATCCAGGGCCTGGCCCCTCAAGATGCTCCCTGGTGTGTTGGGAAGCAGGGAACATACTCCCACAGAACCATACTAACCATTCCCAATGAAAAGGAAAGAAACATCTGTCGCCCAAGCTCAATGCTGGCTCAGGATTGCACTCAATCACCAAATACTCTAAAAGGGAGACGTTCACCAGTTAATTACATAGTGTAAGTAGAACAGAGCGTCAGACTCAGTCGGCTCAAGAATTCTAGTCTTTAATTTGCCATTAACTCTGAACCACGGTTTCCTCCTCTGTAAAATAAATGCTTGGATTAGGTTCTAATGTCTCTTCTAGGAATTACACTGCATGATTCTGTCCTTTCCCTTTCCATGGCCACTTCGCTGGCCCGGATTCATAGCACTTTACGTCTGATGAACTTGCAGTAGCTTCAATTGGTCTCCCCTCTCAGTATCTTTTCCCTCCCATCCTCCTTTACACAAGCAACAAGATAATCTTTCATCATAGTTCTCCTGCTCAGAAACTAGTAATGAAAATAGCACTTATATAGCACCTCCTATGTGCCAGGCACTGTGCTAAGAAGTCTACAATTATTATCTCATTTGATCCACACAACACCCTTGGGAGGTATATGCTATTATTCTTCTCACTTTACAGTTGAGGATACTGAGGCAAAAAGAGACTTGTTCAAGATCACGCATCTATTAAGAGTCTGAGGATGGATTTTAACTCGGGTCTTCCTGATTCCAGGTATAGCCTTCTATTCACTGTACCACCTGGCTGCCTAAATTTAAAGCTAGATTAGACCTTGGAAGCCATGTAGTCCAGTCCTCCTCATTTTGCAGATGAGGAAACTAAGGCCCAGAATGGTAAATGCTTTGCCCAGGATCACACAGGTGGTAAGTGACAGAGGCAGGGTGATCATGCCCGTCATCTTGAGAGCTCACACTTTTAAAAGGATTTAAGCACAATTCCAAAACAGATCCTAAGCTCAAACAGCTGAAGATGACAAAGGCAACATCACTCAGCAATGTAAGCAATACAATTTTAATTCTGACCAGTGCAGCTACAGGCCCTCTTCTTTCCACTGTTCTGCTGGCATTAAACATGTCGGTATGACATCTTCAGGGTAAAAAAAAAATGACACAGAGAGATACATAACATTATGATACAAATGATAAATTATATTTATACAGTAAATAGTGTCAATAGTCAGCACAAATTCAAAAAAGCAGCCTGCTCCAGGATTATGAAAACAATTTGGTAAATATTTCAGGTGTAACACTTGTAAAAAGTAAGCAAGGTTTGTGTGAGATTCCACTTGTGAAAAATAAACCATATAATTTTTCCACAATCTGTGCAATATTAATACATACAGTACACATTAGAAATAGTAACAGCAAAAGGGAAGATGGAGAATATCATGAGCTGGATTTCGTGAGCTCAGAAAGACTGTAAACAGCACAAGATGGAACCCACCCACCCAAAGCCCCACCCCCGACCGGCAGGTTCCCCTTCCCTTTCCCCCTGTCCTAGGCCTCCTCCAGCACACACTGTGGTTTCTATAGAGTATAAAACTGACCAAATAAATAACTGACCACACTTCAGGGTTCAAAGTCATACCAAGATTTTTTTTTTTGCCTTTTTTTTTTAATACAAAAGAATTACTAACACTATTTGAACTTGGGTCAATTTGACCAGTAAGGCTATTTTTGGGTCCCTAACATATCTGACCAAAGCACCTTATTGGGAAAGTTAAAATCCAAGAGGGGAAGAGACAAACAAAACATTTTAATAAAAAAAGGGGGGGGGGGAAGGTGATTAAAGGAGAAGAAAAGGGAGAACTCACTTACATGATGGCCCATCAGAGGAAAGTAGCATAAGATCCTGAAATGGCTTTAAAACTTGAATACGATGGACCTTTTTATATCAGCTAATGCTGCCTGGGTCTGCCACCTCTGGCAATACTAAGCATATGGGCTGAATCTTTTCCACAGACTATTTCATAACGGCCGGAGGTTGCTCCAGGTTGGAAATGAAATCAGGGCCCTGGAACTTGTAGGGACAATCTTGTTTCCCCTCTACCCTCACCCAAAATTGGCTTCTGAGTAGCTCACAAACACTGCCTGACATAATTGCTTAAGTAATTAAGAAGTGTGATTTTTGTTTTCCTAAGAGAGAAAGAAAGTGGTAGAGAGTATTTAAAGTGGCTTGGTTGAATGGTTTCAAATAAGAGCATGCAAGCTATTCTCCCAGACCCACAGCCTTTTATTCATACCACTCCATGATGGTGTTCCCTATTCTCAGCTGTAAAGATCAGTTACTCTCCCTGATCCCAAGAGAAAGTTATTTTGAAAAGAAAAAAAAAATCCCTAATACTCTTATAAATATGTGACTAAAAATCCACTGAACCTGTAATGACATACTTAAAAACTTCGTATATACTAGAAGAATTTTTTAAAATGAGAAATTAATTTATGAATAACCAAACCCAAAGAATAAAGAAGATGAACCTTCTTGCCACAGCTCAACTGGGAAGTGCATTTTTCATATGCCAATACCAAGGCCTAGAAAATTCCTACTCTTAGAAGTGAGTTGCTTCTGGTCTACAACACCTAAATTAAAAAAAATTAATTAAATTGAAGTGGGGATAACAGGGCAGGGCATAAACAACATTAATGCATTTTTGTTGATAACATACTGAAGCTTTTTTTTCTCCTGTAAAATCTCAGATAAGCATTCTTAAATCTGCCTTTATAGATTCAAGATTAATAGGTAGAAGGATCAGCATATGTTAACATCCAAATTTTTATTATTTTGAGGACTCTGAAGTTAACTTCAACCTGTAGGGCTGACATCAGTGACTAGTAAAGTTTGGACTATTTTTTGAACCTTGGCTAAAGGGCACAGCTCAATCCCCTGTTTACTGTACCTTCCTTCTATGTCCTGCTATTTTAGGTTATTTCAATATACACTGTAAGAGCACAGCTGCAAATCTAGTTCTGACATCCCCCGTCTCCCTTCCCAACACTGACATTAGCTCAATTCAGCAATGCTCTAATAAGAGACTTAGTTGGGTTCAGAACTCTTAAACATGCACCTTTGAGTGTAACTTGTGGAGTTTTGGAAGGTGGTGAATGAAAATAAAATCCTTAGGGGAAAAAAGGCTGCCCACAGTGGAGAAAGTCAGTTTTGTATACAAATGATATTAAATCATCTTTAACTCAAGCAAAGATTAATTAAGATAGATGAAATCAAACTCATGCAGAGTTAAAGATGTGTTGTTCAACTTACAATTCAAGAGTTGTAAAGAGAACTAATTGTTAACCTGGAAAGTGCCTTTTGTAAAAAATAATTAGTTGATAAAAATTTAGAGTCACATTCATACATTAGAATTTTTAAAATTTCAAGATGTTGATATTATAGTAAGAAAAATAGCCTCTTTCATGATCTACCTACAAAGGCTAAAAGTCAGTTCAGTTTGGAAAACTACCAAAAAGGGGAAGAAAGGAAAAGGCAACTTGAGGCTGTTTTTTTTTTTTAAATAAATGTCATCTTAGTAATTGTAATCAAATTCACATCTTTTTTCTACAAAGTCTCAAGAATTTGCTTTTTTTCATTATGAATTGTTGTTGTTCAAAGTGTTCTAGTGTTTTTCTTTCCTTTAAAATTCCCTTACAGAAACAGAGCTAAAAACCATAAATAAGACAGCATTTTAAACCATAAAAATGACAACTGCCAATATTTTAATTTCAGCCACACCTGATAAAATTCTATCAAAACTAGACAGTTAAATAAGAACCACATTATAAAAATGTTAGCAAAAAGGACTATTAGATAATTTTGCAAACTCAAATATGAAACTGTACTAAAAACAAAATATGTGCAAAAGTATACAAGAATAACTGCATATAGCAAGGTTAAGCCTGAATTAGTTTTAAAGCTTGCCCTAGTGAATTTAATTCAAGAGTTGTTCCACTGTATTTTTTCTTTCAACTCACGTGGTAAGTCAAATAAAAATAAAATACACACAATAACTTTCAAAAAGAGTCACTACTGGACAAGCACAGAGCGGAAGCCTCATTTAGCACGAGTGTAGCATGCCATCCCCAGAAAGGTCACTAAGAGTCCCCATATAGTAGTGTATAACACTGCAGACATCACATCTTATGCTTGACAGTGTAAGAACTCTCAAGTGAAGTTTTGGAGCAAACCTGCTTTCCGCATCCAAAGTTATGAGAAGAAAGTGGCATGATTTTTTGTGGCAAAGTTTGATGTGTAAATCTGGTCTTCTGTATGCCCAACTATTCTCCTAAGAATAAGGACTATGGGTGAACCAACAGTCAGGAACTGTATAGTTATGTGCAAAAAGCGGTCACTAGCACTCTGTCTTATATCTCCAATGACTAAGAGAAATGACTAATGCAGGGGACAATTTTAGAATACAGCACATTGTTCTGACATCTGCAAAAGGGTATAGAGGGAGCTGAAATGGCAGGCTTCTCCCCAGAGGGTACTGATAACCAATACGGACAGACCAATTTCACTTCTGGGTCATCAGAACATTTTAAGAAATGCCTGATGAACTGAAATTAGGGACTATCTGCCAAGCCTAGAGTTAGATGAACCAGTAGAGGCCAATTCTTCTCAAAGTCATGACTGTAAACCACAAATTTATGTTCAAATCTCTTGCACACCATTCAGTCCAAACAGAGTTTTGTTCATTTTACTCCAATGAAGACTTCAATCTGCAAAATGTTCTGGAAAGGAAGCTCTGTTCATCTGGGATGTTATAGGAGGAAAGGGTTGGTCGTACTTGTGGACTGGGATGCAGGTGGAGGAACTCCTGTACTATGCAGAGGTTGGGACATAGATCCTGAAATGGTTATCCCTTGGCCCATTCTAGTCAGAGATGTCACATTGCCCAAAGATGGTACTGGTGCCATTCCAACAGCTACTGGTGCCATGGAAGGCAGAGGTATTGGCTCCATGCTCATTGATGACATAGTACTGAAAGAAGGACTTGTTCCCATGATGGGGCTTGCTCTCATCTGGTTTAATGTCAGGGGTTGAGGCTGATTTACCTGGAAAGGATTGATCGGAGTTGATGCTGTGGAAGAACCTATTAAAATGGAAGAAGTCCACGATTAGTAACTTTGAAACAATCCAGAGATCTGGAATCATAAATACGTAACTTTCTTGAAGAATGGGGAACTATGTATTGTGAGAAAATAGATACACGATCTCTCACAAAAGTGCATGGTAATCCCTGCTACTAGGGAAGCTAAGGTAGTTGCTTGAATTTGGGAGTTTTGAATGCAGAACTAAATCTGGCACCAATATAATGAGCCCATGGGAATCAGGGCACCATCATGCTCACTAAAGAGAGGCAATGTTTATCATTTTCCTGTTTTTTCATGTTAGCCAATCTAATAGGTGTGATATAGTACCTCAGAGTTATTTTGATTTGCATTTCTCTAACCAATAGTGATTTAGAACATTTTTTCATATGACTATAGATAGCTTTAATTTTTTTTCATCTGAAAACTGCCTGCTCATATCCCTTGACCATTTATCAGTTGGAGAATGATTTATATTCTTATACATTTGTTTTTGTTTTGTTTTTTTGTTGAGGCAATTAGCATTAAGCGACTTGCCCAGGGACACACAGCTAGTAAGTGTGAAGTGTCTGGTCTGAGACCAAATTTGAACTCAGGTCCTCCTGACTCCAGGGCTGGTGCTTTATCCACTGAGCCACCTATCTGCCCCATATTCTTATACATTTGATTCAGTTCTCTATATATTTTAGAAACGAGGTCTTTATCAGAGACACTGGCTGTAAAAATTGTTTCCCAGCTTTCCAATTCCCTTCTAAATCTTGTCAACCTACCTTTCTAGCTTTATTTCACATTACTCCCTTTCACATACTCTATATTCTGAATGAACTATACTACTAGCTATTCCCTGACATTCCACCATTCTACCTCTGTACATTCCCATAGGCCAACTCCCATGTGCAGAATCAATGTTCTTCTCTTCTCTACCTTTTGGAGTCCTTTACCTTTAAGGTTCAGCTCAGGGGTGACCTTCTCAGTGAAGCCTGACCTCATCTCTCCCAATTATTAATACACTCTTCTTCCTCAAACTTCCTTGTAGGCACATATCTTTGTATGTACTACACATTCCAGTAGAATTTCATTTCCTTAAAGGTAGAGACTGGGTTGCTTTTGCTTTTATACATCTCTGGCACTTCACCACAGCACCTTACACACAGGGCATGCCTAAAATATTGTTTGTTGACCTAAAAAAAACTATGCCTAAAGTGTCATTCCTCAATGTGTAATGTGACAGCCTAAGTATGTGTGTAACTTTCAAGAGGACTGCTTTGAAGAACAACACGCATTTATAACGACAGGCAAAATATTTGGCATGGTTGGTTTTAAATAAAAGTCTGCTTTATAGTCACACCTCATATATCCCTTTACCTATATACTCTAGAAGCAACAGCACTTATGTATATGAAAAAATTCTAGTATGTTTGCTTAAAAACAAAAACAAAAAAAATAAAACAAACTACTTCGGTTTATACTGTCCTTTCTCTAGGTACTGGTAGCCCGTGCCGTTAACAGATTAGGGCAGAGGGGAAATGCTGGCATACAGGAGCTGTACTGCTTCCTTTTTCTTTCCTTCCTCAGTGAAAAAAAAATAGTGGAGACATGGATGGAAGCACCTGTGGACAATCAAGCTGAGAAAGCAGACTGTCTGCTTCACCTCTTTTCTTGAATTTAGTAACCACAGAAAAAAATGCACAGAGATTGTCAAAAGAGCCAGAAGGAAGCTGAAATAATTTGCCTGAAATTCTATTTTTTAAAAAAGAGCAAATGACAAATAATCTACAAATACTACGAAGTGCAGTGATTCCAAACATCTCAGTATTTACAGTGCCTAACACACAATAGTTATTTTCAATAAATGTTTACTGATTGATGTCTTTTAATCTAAATCAAACCTTCTAAGCATTCACTCAAATTTTACATATTACTACAATATAGCTACTGGCTGTTGCAAGCTATCTTCCCCAAACCCACCACCATCTTTGCTGGCATTGACTTAAATGTCTATTTGCCTCAGCTCTACAGAGAATTTATAATTCAAGTTTCCAATTTTTAGTGAGACTGGAAAATTTAAGGGAAATTTTTCCAAACATTTAAGTAGCTGGCCAGCATCACCATTTAATACTGTAGGTGGTTAGACTTACTAGGATGGCTCAGGAGCCCTTGATGTTTCTTAGCTGAAAAGAGAAATACTTCTCATCTTTGATCTCTTTCTATTGACTGCTTCCCTGGGGTCTATGAACATGTTCAAGTCTCCTCCATCCTTTAAAAGTTTTATTTCAGCCTGCAGTCCTTCAAGCTATCATCCTATATCTTCACCCTTTCTCTGCCAAACTCCTAGAAAAATTGTCTACTCTTACTGCTTCTGCCTTCTTACTATCCACTCACTTTTCAACTCCTTACAATCTGGCTTCTGATTCCATCAATCTACTAAAACTTCTTTCTCCAAAGTTGTCAATGATCTCTTTAAACAAAATATTAGTTGTACTGGCATTTTTTCTTTAAAAAGTCACTTTAATTTCCAATTATACTATTTCCCTCTTCCTTTTTTCAGTAAAACCTTTAATTAAAAAAATTAACTTTTTAAAAAAGCAGTTCAGTAAAACCAAATAGCACATCTATTTATGTAAAGAAGGCAGGGAGGTGCATTTTCTCAATTCTTCTCTGGAGTTGAGCTTGGTTATTATAATTAGGGAACATTCAATTTTTTTTGTTCTTCACACTTACATTGTTGTAGTCACTGTATATGATGTTTTTCTGATTCTACTTAATTCACTGTCAGTTCCTTTAAATCTTCCTATGCTTCTCTGAATTCTCCATATTCATCATTTTTTGTGACCTTTTTTAAGCCTTCATTTTCCTTGTTCTCTTGGTAGCATCTGACCCTCTTTAATATCCCCTCCTCCTGGATACCCTATCATTCCTTGGTTTCTGTGACATTGCTCTTTCCTGGTTCTTCTCCTGTTTCTCTGACTACTTTTCAATTTCCTCTGCTGGTTTATCCCTCATTACCCTGCTCCCCTGAGGCAGTGTCCCTGTGCCTTTTTATCTTCTCTCTTATATTTTTTCCCTTTGGAAACTCATCAATTCTTATAGATTCAATTATCATCTCTATGCAGATCATTCAATCTCAAATTTATATATCCTATTCTCTTCCCTAAGCTCCACTTCCACAATGCCAGCTGTATTTAGGCAGCTAGGTAGCAGGGTCGATAAGAGTGCTGGGTCTAGAGTCAGAAAAAATGGAATTTAAATCCAGCCTCAGACACTTACTAGCTATGTAACCCTAGGTAAGTCACTTAAACTCTGTTTGCCTCAGTTTCCTCAACCAAAAATGGGGCTAATTAATAGCACCTACTCTTGTAGGGTTGTTGTGTGGATCAAATGAAATAGTATTTGTAAAAACCTTAGTACAGTGTCTGGCACAAAGTAGGCTCTACATAAATGTTTATTTCCTCCCTCCCTCATTATCCCCAATCTTCTAAATTAGAATTCATCATCTGACTCATAAATATGCCCCTTCTCTTAACTTGCCTATGCCAGCAGGTCTTTCCTTGGTTCACAAATTTAGGCACTACCAGTAATCTGGGTTCGTAACTTTCAAGTCATCCTTGACTCATTCCTCTCCTGCACCCAAACAATGAAGTCTATGGTCTGCTATGCCACCTTCCTACCCCCAGCTCCCTAGTAGGTTGCTTTGTACCTTAATAGACGTGTTTTTTTTAAACTGAATTCCTGTAGCTCAATACTGCCTGACTACTAAAGTTGTTACTAAACAACACGTTGTCACGCAGTCATTTCCCAAAGAATTTTCAAAAATGGAGAAAAAAATACAAATTTTGAGCTCTGAATTGCTACTAGATAAGGGCAGACCAAACTTAAATATGCATCTGGAAACTCAGTGAAATTAACTGTGAAAATTTCAATAGTTGTTTGCAAGAAGGATAAATCACATATCACTACAACAACGAGGAATAGAAGGGTCAGATTTCTCTTGAGCCTTGCCCTTTAGGTCATAAAAGCTCAGCTTATTCTCACCAATATAATGATCCAAGACAATTCCAGAGGACTCATGATGAAAAAATGTTATCTACTTCCAGAAAAAGAGCCTATCAAGTCTGAATGCAAATTGAAGCACACTATTTTTCACTTTATTTTTCCCCTGGTTTTTTGTCTGTTTTCTCTCACAACATGATTAATGTGGAAATATATTTTGCATGACTGCATACGTATAACCTATATCAAATTTCTTACTGTCTCAGAAAGGGGAGAAGAAAAGGAGGGAGAGAGAGAGAGACTTGGAACTCAAAATTTTTAAAAATTAATGTTAAAAATTTTTACATGTAACTGGGGTAAAAAGCAAAATATTATTTTAACAAAAGATAAGAGCTCAGCTTTGATGCCTTAGCCTGCTAATACATCTTCATGCGTTTAGCAATTACTGTCTTGGTTAGGATTTCTTCTAGAATCCCTTATAGGTGGATTTGCTTCATTTTAACTTGGGAAATATTTCTTCAATGACATAACCAAATCAGGAGGACAAACCTAGTAATGCATGGCTGCTAGACAACAGAGATCATAACGTGCTTGAAGAAGAGATACAAAACTTCACAGCCAGAAAGCAAAAGTGGGGAACTGTGATCTACATTTCATGTGACCTCAAGTACAGATTAAGTGTCTATGTCCAGAGTGGTAAGTTCTGCTTTAACAGTAATATACCAAAAGGCCTCCAGATGGGGATGTGGCTCCATCAAGGTATAACTTTTTCTATGAGGGAAAAAAAAGAGATGCAGCTCATAGATTATAAGAAATTCTAGCAATATCTGTCTATTTAAAATAAATCTTGAGGTTTCAAAAAAATTTCTTTTAAAATACAAAGTACATTAAGTGTAAAAAAATTCCATGGTTTATGGATCATGGTCAGAAATAGATCATAGTCCTCACCTACTAAAATTAAGACTTTAGGGGCAGCTAGGTGGCACAGTGGATAAAGCCCTGAAGTCAGGAGGACCTGAGTTCAAATCCAGCCTCAGACCAAACACTTGACACTTATTAGCTGTGTGACCCTGGGCAAATCACTTAACCCCAATGCCTAAAAAAATTAAATTAAATTAAATTAAGACTTTGTTTGCTCTTGAGCAGCTGATAACAAACAAGGGAATGTTGAGTTGGCACACTATCTACTTTTTAGGAGCAAAGCAACAAATAGGGTAAGGAAACAGTCTCTCAGAAAGAAAAGGAAATATATTTGAAAAGCCGGATTCAAAACCAACTATGCACTGATATATTTGCTATGTATGGGCTAAGACTTACATACCTGGAGCTAAGAATGGATTCAGTGAAGGAACAGGTTGTGATGGCTTGGTTATTAGAGAGTCCAGATTCACTAAGGCTGCATTGGGTCCCAAGAAAGACTCTGGTGTTTTCCGAGCACCACTATGTTTGCTTGAGGCCAAATTCACAGGTTGAGAATCAAAGAGATCTGGACTTGACGTACCATTGTTTTGGGATGGTAAAGAAGAAATGGATTCAGCTAAAAAAGAGAAAGAAAAATTGGAATGCTTAGGTACTAACTAGGATATGTGTATGTATGTGTGTGTATGTTTATGTGTGAGAGTGTGCGTAAATAAACAAACAAATAAATAAATAAATGAATGAATAAATAAATAAATGTGTGTATATGTATGTATATATATATATATATATATATATATATATGTATAAACATAGCCAGTATCACTTACAGAGCCTTCATAAATAATGAAGACAGACAAATGATTCTCATTCAACAATATTTTAAAATTACAAATTGTACTACAAGAGAGACTTTAAATCTAGTTTTTCATTACTTCACATTTAAGTTCAATGTAAGGACACAAAACTTTTATTTAGTTTGAAATTAGCCTTAAAAAAAGAAAACAACTTGAAAATGTATTTACTATATCCTCCCACCCTCCAAAGAGCAGAATTTCCATATAAATGACCTAATTTATCCTTACTGTGTAAATCCTAGCTTATGAAACAGCCTCATGGAGATTTTGTACAACCTGAGTTGTAGCCCCTAAACTATTAGATGGTTCTAATTACCTGTCTTTTACCATTCCTTATACCAGGGCTCAGCAGAGCAATGCTCATAGATGTTCTGCTGGGGCAGGGGTAGGGGCTGTAAGGAGGGACTGGGGGAGAATGGAATACATAAAAAAGGAGAAAGAAAATGCAGAAGTGGGGGAGATGGGGACCAAAAAAATGGATAGAGATGGACAGACACATAAAAATAATAAAAAAGGAATACAAGGTGGGAAGCGCTAAAGATTGTTACAACACCATGGTGCCTCAGACACCATGAAATGGCAAACTGTCCTAAGTTGCCTGTTCCTGCCAAAAAAGACTGAGATTTCTAATAAAGGCTGAACAAGCTTCTTTTCTGAGGTAGGACACTAATTATACAAGACTATCTTTATAAGAAACCTTTGAGCTTTTTGAGTTTATACTTACTGTCTGTGTGCTTACTAAGGTCTTCATCTTTCCTTTCTCAACTTCTTCATTCTATTTTCTCTTCCCCCTTTCCCTTCCTTTCTCTTTTTTTCAAACTTATCTTCCACCATAGATATAACTACCCTCCCTGTCACACATGCACACAGATCTTCCTCCTTTGCCTAATCCTAGAGTTGGCAGCAGTGGCTGCTGCCCCCTTTTCTGTGGGAAGTGATGGTCTTGAGTCTACAAAAGAAGGTACTGTAGTGACAGGTCATGCTAGGAAGTGGCTGGCTGAAAGTGACTGCCGGGCTTGTATGATCCTTGGGCAGCATGAGGTCAAAGATGGCAGGAATATGTCTTATCCGTGGGCAGAAGAGAGTTGGGGAAGCCACAGCAGGTTAGTTAATTTTTGGAAATTTTTATTTGGGTAACCTGAGCCCAAGTGTTAATCTTCTGTTAAAGCTCAAACTACTTTCTTTCTTAAAACAGAAGCTGGGGAAGAAGAGGAACAGTTAGGATTTCTACCTGAGCCACTATTTGCCAAAGTGCCCTCGTAGGTGTTGTAGAAGGTCTTGGTGGCAGCCAGCAATTTTGAGTTAAAGGGAACAGCTCTGGAGAAAGGCTTGCTCAGGTCTCAGTGATTTAGGGTGGTTAACAAGGCCCTGGTACATGTGAGCAAGGAACTTCTGCAGTACTAGAAGAGAGGGTCCATTGCTGGGCACAAGGGAGAGCATGGCATCCATACTTTCCAGGTAGGTTTGGGGTACTGCAATCATAAATGGGGAAAGGGGAAGAGGAAAGAAATGAGGGCCAGTATAAGTAGCTAAGAGATCAGTAAGTGTATCTGCCCTGTCCTTTTTTTATTTTGGTTATGGGTTTTATTGGGTGGCCTATTAATCACTCTAATTTTTATGGATTCCATTTGCCTAAAGAGGCCAATTGAGGAATCTCTCTAGGTGTACCATAAGACAGGTGATAGAAGAGATGAGAGAAAATGGCACTATTATGCAAGGAGGTTCAGGGCCTGGGGTAGATATGATCTGTGATTTGGTCTTAGAAAGGATGGGAGAGGAAAAACTGAACAATGCTTCCCAAAGCTGGAGCTCCCACCTCCTGAAAACACTGAGCAGAAGGCTGAGTGACTGGGATGGAAAAAATATATCTTTTGGCTTCTAAAACTGGAAATTTTGTTTGAATAGGTAAGAACAGTAAGTAGTAATACATTTATGTAGCACTTCAAGGTGTGTAAAGAGCTTTCCTTACAAAAATTCAGTAAAGTGGGTAGTATAAACATGACTACAAAGTATGAAGAATAACCTTAGTAGTTAAATATCTTGACACTTGCTACAAAACGTTAGAACCAGAAGTAAAATCCAGGTCTTTTCCAAAATTAGACCTAACACTCTTTCTCCCACACCACACAGCTTCTCAAAGAAAAAGTCTTCTCAGATTTGTAGCCTAAGCAAGAATCTAAGAATGTAGTTGGTGCATTTACCATGGTGAAAACAAGCCAGAGAAGAAAAAGGAGTAATTTCTGAGGCAGACACTGCAGGGACTTTTTTTTAACTTAATGAAATGTCATTTGGAAATTAGAAGAAGAATCTACAAAAGCATCAAAGAATAGAGAAATAAAATGCAGATGTAAAAAGTAATTGTGACTTGTTACAAAGCTATCAAAAGTATGATAGCAAATGCCATACACTTTTGACACGTTGCATGTGTGACTTCCTGGAATTAGAAGCCATATAGCCTCAAGACAGAAACGTGAAGGAAGGATGCAAAGTTAAAACATATGAAATACTTCCTTCCGAACCCTAAATTTTATTTCTGTAAGCAAAAATTAAACTAGTTATTGAAAAAATATCATTGGGGGTAGAAAAGACAAAAAAAGAACTAATCCTGTATCCATCACTGTGTTACATACCTGTCTTTTTAGAAGTTCGGAGGTTGTCAAATTCAGAAAAGTCATCTTTAACTGTACCATTCAAGTTACTGAAGAGATCAAAAGATCCTATATTAAAGAAAAGAAACTGATAACTAAATAAACAATGGAGAAAAGGCACTTTACTTTTCTATGTCTCAGTTTGCCTTTCTCTAAGACTTTTCTCCACAGGTAGGTCAGAGCTGATCCTACCTATGAGCAGAGTAAGCAACCACTTGCATGGTGTGCTTTTAATAGAGTTGGAAAAGTCTGCCCCAAAATATTGCCCTGCCAACAACTCCTATAAGTAAAGTACTTAGGTATTGAGGAGAGTGACTGGAGGGAGAAAAAGGAAACATATAATTTAAAAAAAGATAAGGGGCATGAGACACTACTGAGTAAAGGAGAACAGGCAGACCTGACTTGTAATAGGAAGGAGGGAAGTAATGGAATTCCCTAGACAATCAAAAGGAAGCATGAAGGCAATGGATCCCTGGGAGAAGTGAAAGACAAAAAAACCTTACAATTTGTCTACAGGCCCAGCTTGGGTAGAGTTATCAACACATGCCCATTCCTTTCTTCACTTGGATGTTGAAAAAAATAATGAGAATATTTACGAAACATACTGAGCTTCTGGGAAAGGTGTTATATAAACATAAAGGGTGGTGAGATCACTATAAATGAGTGCCAAAATGTGGCAGGCTGTGAAAAACACATAGAACTCTGCTGTTCTATGATATATGCCGTTCAATGTATAAATAATAAGCAGGTGAGCCAAATTTAGGAAACCAACTGTGTTTAGAATACAAGGAATAACTCAAATTTAAAATTATCATTATCTTCCTTAACATTTCAATTCAGCAGCTATGCAGTAAAATAAGCCAAATACAAGCATAAAGTCTCACCAGAAGTGGAAATTGTTTTGTTAGTGGATGTTGGTCCCCAAGGATCTGTGGTAGATTTTGCTACTCCACTAGCTGACTGGGAAGGTACCCATGGATCTGTGTTCTTTGGAAGTGACTGAGTAGAGGATCCAGCAGATGCCCTCCATGGGTCAACAGGAACAGCAGGATTGGCACCTGCAGGAAAAAAAAAATTGCCAGAATTTAGAAAGAGATTCTTCTTTCTGAAACCGTAAAGCCTCTGGAGCTGTATAATTAAATCTCTGTTCTCTACTGTGGATAAAGTAACATGTTCCAAGGCTGTCACAAAAAGAGTATTAAATAGCTTATTAGAAAACTTAAACTGCCGTTGTCTCTCCCACTGCAATCTAAGCTGTTTGAGGGCAGAGATTGTTTTTACCTTTGTCTCCCTACAATCTAAGCACAGTTCCTGGAACATAATAAGTGCTTAATGCCTGTTGACTGAATGACATTACCATACCATTCCAAATGCCAAAAAAAAACCAAAACCACCCCCAAAAACCTGTGAAACCCCACATTGTTCTTGAAGATTTCCTAACTCTAGCAGCAGCTTGTGAATGTAAAAAAACCAAGTTATTTCTCACATTACCTGGTCTAATCTTTGGAATTAGCACACCAGATTCAAATCCTGTCACATGTGTGGCTTTGGGCAATTTGTTTAGCTTCCCTGGGTCTCAGTTTCCTTATGTCTAACATGAAGGAGTTGGATTACAAGGCTAAGGCTTCTGAGATCCTTTGACGTTCTAGATCTAATCTGCACTTAGAGAAGTGTCTTGGGACAATGAAATCACAGCATGTTTAAATTCACAAGGGAAGAGTATTTGCTAAAGGAATCAACAACTTTTCAGAGGCAGCATACTAGGTTTTATTTATTCAAGATTGGGAGGGGAAGAGTGGGATATCATGATAGTAGCAACTCATTTCAGTCCCTGAGAAGCCCAAAGAAATAGTTCCCTGAGTCCTGGGCTTCTGGCAGTATAACCAATTGTCAGTTGTGAGAAGCATAGCCAGAGGTGCCTTTCTCTGCATGCCCAAGGCCGGTCCACGCCCCACCCCCCCAAACATCCACTGCCTGTCTTCTCACCATGGAGCTTCCTTCCCCCTGGGGTCATGAAGTTATTATGGCATCAAAGATTCTGTCTCTGGAAATGCCAAATGCAGCAGGGAAGAAGTTGGTAATCCCTTAAATTTTTGTCAGCTGGCTCCTTAATTATCAGTGTGGATACCTCAGCAGGGATTGACAACCAGCTGACAGCAAGAATGGAACATGGGATAAATGTGTGTTCATGGTGGAGAGGAAAAGGTAGAAGGAAAAAAGGGGCCCTTAGTGTAGTTAGGAGAGTTTCAAAGGCAAACTTTAATTTTCAATTTGCCCATTTTTGCCTTTGGCACACTTGCACCAAGCTATAAGTGAAAGAAAATAACATCACATAGGAACTAGAAATAGGCTAGCAGAGAACCATTGCCTCATCTTAAAATGACCCAAAAATGTATTTAGTTATTTCCTTCATCAAAAATACATCCTTAAATTTTTTAAAAAAGTACCACAAAATCTTTCTTAAGTTCAGTTCCCTTTGCTCTCACAGTAAAACTCTATTTGTCCTCATAAGCATAAAGAAGTAACAGTTTTATCTTTCATCCTTTTCTGCTCTATTACATCTTTTGAAACTCTTCTAAATTCTTTAAAATCTTTCCATCTGGTTCTTTCAAGGCCCTCCCTTCAGAAATATTATTGCCTTTCAAGGTCAAGAATTCTTTCCAATTCCCTCTGGTGCATTTAAAAACAAAAACAAAAATATCCAGAGTTTCAGAATCTGTACATGTAAAACCACAATTCTATACTGTAAAATCTGTTTCAGCCTATTTACATCTTAATGCTCTAAATGTACATTTAAGTAAATTTCACTCCAACAAAAAGTATAATGATATAATTGACAGAGCACTGGGGTAACAAGGTAGAGACTTGGGTTTTAATTTCAACTTGTCACTGACTTGCTTTGTGACCTATGCAAAGTTAATTTCATTAAGTTTTCTTAGCTGCTGGTCATGAAGTCTAAGACTCTTACTTTCTAATTCCAATATACTAAGAAATCTCATGTTCAGTTTCCCTTCAACCTTAAATCCCTTTTTGGTATTTTCCTTTCTTTTCGAAGTCTGGAAGACTTAAATACTCTCTGGAATTCTTTATTTAGTAGAATGTTTTCCTAAATAAAGAATAAATAATATCACTCTAAAAAAAGGCATAAAAAAAGACTATATCTCCAGAGAATCATAAAATCTCAAGAGTTGGAAAGGACCCTTAGAAGTCATTTAGTACAATTTTCTACTCAGCACAGGAATCCTTAAACATGCTTGAGTTCAACCAGAATTTTTTTTTTTTTTGGTGGGACTGGACCTGTGATTTCATTGGAATAGGTAACTCCTGATAAGGAACCAGCTATCAAAGCATATCTGCACTTGTTCTAATCTTACAGATTAGGGGGCACTGAGATTGATCTGCCTAGGGTTTTATGGCCACTATGTATGTACTGGAGGTAAGAGTATAACCCAGCTCTTCCTGGCCTTGAGGCAAGTCTCTAACCAGTACACAACACTGTCACTTTCCAACTACTACAACAAATCTAAACAAATGTCTAATTCCAGCGCCAAAAAAAACCCTAATCTTACATGCAAAGATCATATAATTAGGAACTCTTGAATTTCATAGTTTTAATGCATAGAGATTTGCCTTCCAAGTGCTAGCCACTGAGGTATAATTTCAATATTCAAGACTTACCTTACAATATACTACTACTGGTCATTCCAGTTTTTTGAATCCCCTCCTTCCTGCATTTCTAGCACTTATGTCCACAATATGGTGCGCTGGAAAGAACACTGGACACGGAGTAAGGAAGAATTGGTTCAAATGTTTTTTTTTCTTTTTAAAATTATCTATATTTTATTTTATTTATTTATTTATTTGTTTTAACAGTTCCCAATTACATTTAATGTGGTTTGCAGCACTCAGGGTGAGTTAGATACCTCTAGACTGAATTATACATTTAGGTAGATTTGAAACTGGTTTAATGACTAGACAGATCCAGAAAGTAGTCATTAATGAATTGATGTCAATTTAGAGGTAGGTTTCAAAACAAATTGCCCTATCCTAATCCTATGTTAGTGGTGACTCTGGAATAAAAGGACCTGAGTTCAAATTCCACCTCCAATGATGACTATGCGACCTTTCTAAGCCCCAGTTTCCTCATCTTTAAAATGAGGAGGTTGAACTAAATGATCTCCAAGGTCTGTTCCAGCTCTAGATGTATCGATTTTACATAGGAAGAACCAAGAATAACAGAGGGACAGCCTAAACTGTTGCAATCCACACCCATACATTAAAAATCCTAGAGGAAGGGGCAGCTAGGTGGCTCACTGGATAGAGAACCGGCCCTAGAGTCAGGAGGACCTGAGTTCAAATCTGGCCTCAGACACATAACACTTACTAGCTGTGTGACTGTGGGCAAGTCACTTAACCCCACTGCCTAGCCAAAAAAAAAAAATCCTAGAGGAAGCACTATGGAAAGTTAAATGGATTTATCAGAAGGAGGTAATACCAGCATCTATTAAGATCATGAATCTACCTCAGCATGAATGATATAATCAATAGGGGAACCACTGAAGGTTCTGTCAGCAAGGTAATAACTAAATTAGAGCTGCACTCAAGGAGGATTTATTTGGCAGTATACTCAGGATGGATTAGAAATCCATCAAGTCCTAGTGGACACTTCTACAACAGTAACAGGTAACAAAGGCTTAAACTAGTTTGCTGCTGTGTGGTTGTCAAAGAAGGTATGGGGACAGCTTAAGAAAAAACACTGGGGAAAAAATTTTTTTTAACTAGAAAAGAAGAAAAAAAAGAGGACTGAGAGTCAGATCTGGGTTCATTTCCCAATCCTGGAACTAATTCACAACACAGTCTTGGGCAAATCACATCCTGTCCCTATGCCTGTTTCTTCATTTTTAAAAGGCTGGCATAGATTAGGATTTCTTCATTCTTTTTGTCAGTCTGGTGAAGTCTATGGGACCCTTTACCAAGTAGTAGTTTCAAATCATTTAAGAAAATGCTACATTTCAGTTACAGGATTATGAAAATAAAGATGTATTTTTTTTTCTGATTCAAGTCCACAGAAAACTATCCATCAGCCCAAGGAGACCAAGTCAAGAACCCTTGCTCTAAAAGGTCTCTCAAAACCACCTTCTAGCCACTAGCTTTCCATGGCTCAAAAATAGGTGGAAAGTACTTGAGAGTTTTATTTATATTCTACTTATATTGCCCTCCACTCCCCAACCCGAGTACCCCTGGGAGATAGGCAGGGCTAGGAATACAGGATTTAGAACTGAAATCAGACTTTAGGGATCTCTTCAAATTACAGGAGAGATTAAGGTTTAAGGAAGGGAAGTGAGTGGCCCACACTTGTTCCTTGCTTAAACATGCTTCTGCTACCTCAATCCAGCCTATTTTGCAGATGAAGTAAAGCAGGCTCAGAGAGGTAAAGCGACTGCATGAGGTCCCACAATAATTAGCAAATGGCAGGGCTTAACAAGTGGACTAGACCAAGGTTCTGGGAAGTTGTGACACCCCCCCCCCCACTGGCTGAGCTGGAGTGGCTGTTACCTTCTGGATGTTCCCCAGGAACAGGTCCTTGGCACAGGCTTGGTGTTTCAGGCCTACTAGTCATATAACTTTGCTTTATGTCACCTTCTTCTCTCTGAGCCTCAGTCAACTGATACTTTCAGGGGGTCTATTTTTCTATACAATTTCATACGTAATAATTCTTTAATTGCTTGTATAAGGCGGCTAAGTAGTGTGCTGGACTTGGGAGTCAGCAAGACTTTGGTTCAAATCTTGTCTCAGACACTTCACTGTCTTCAGTTATCTTACTCCCCAACACATACTCTTTGATTCAGTTACACTGGCCTCCTGGCTATTCCATAAACAACATACTCCATTTCTCAGCTTTGAGCATTTTCTCTGGCTATCTTCCAGAGAACACCCTCTGGAACACCCTCCCTCCTCCACTCCAACAACTGAACTCCTTGGCTCCCTTTAAGTCCCAACTAAAATGCTATCTTCTATAGGGAGCCTTCCCCAGCCCTTCTTAATTGTAGTACCTTCC